AACCTCTATGCTTTCAATGCTGTATTCAATGTCCAGCTATTTTGTTTCACTGTGGTCAGTGGTTTTGGAGAGGACGGACCTCTGCAGACAAGATAGCATCAAAAAAAAACAGCAGTAGGGATGCACACTTGGTAGGACTCCTAAACTAAAAACAAAGGGAAAACTTAGACTCAAACAGAACTAGAATAATCAGCAGCTCAGCCTCAGATGCAGTGTTTGAATAATACCTATTCTTTTAAAGTGAAACTGCTCTTTTCAGTTTAATTAAGTATTACACTTTCCACCAACATGCCGTCCGTTATCATCTTAACAAATGATGGATCACATGAAATCCATTTCTGCTGTTTTAAATCAAAAGTTGTGTATGTGAGATCTTTACCATCTCTGATTGCAGCAAAGCCCAACTTGCTGCGTCAGCTGCTGTTTCAGCTGCTGTTTCAGTGACACAATGAGAAATTGATTTCTGGTGAATCAGGTTGATTTTTTCTGGGCTAATAAATTAGAGTACTGGATCAGTTTAAGTCAATTCTCTTAATTATCCTGAAACTGGTAGTGGTGTCTGGACAAATTTATTTAAACCCTATTTTAATGGTCATCTTTTGTAGGATAGAACTATTTAAAAAAAACAGCAGCGAGTTCTGCAAATCACAGAGCCTCATTACGCTATCTAAAGGTTTTCAAGCTGTGATACTATCTGTATCGTGATACCATCTGTATCGTGATACACTCTGTATCGTGATACCATCTGTATCGTGGTACGCTCTGCATCGTGATACGGTCTGTATAGTGATATACTCTGTATCGTGATACCATCTGTATCGTGGTACGCTCTGTATCGTGATATGCTCTGTATCATGGTACGCTCTGTATCGTGGTACCATCTGTATCGTGGTACGCTCTGTATCGTGATACACTTTGAATTGTGATACGCTCTGAATCATGGTACGCTCTGCATCAAGATACCATCTGCACCGTGACACCATCTGCACCGTGATACCATCTGTATCGTGGTACGCTCTGTATCGTGGTAGGCTCTGTATCGTGATACCATCTGTATCCTGATACGCTCTGTATCGTGGTACGCACTGTATCGTGATACCATGTGTATCTTGATACACTCTGTATCGTGATACCATCTGTATCCTGATACGCTCTGTATCGTGGGGTTGTGGGAAATACACAGCCCTATTGAACAGAGTAACTCATTCATTTAAATACATTAAACTTTCTGTGTACAAAGGGTACAGAGGCCACAGCTGTTTCAATTCTGCCTAAGGGGATGCGCAAAGCGTCACACATTGAAGACACTGATTTAATCAAGTACAATTACACGTTTATGACCAAGAAGTGCCAGTAACTAAGGAGCCCCAGGAATTCAGCCAAGGAACTTAAAGTCCTCTTAGTTCATTTCTTTCTTCTTTTTGTCAGGGTTTCTTAAGAGGCTTTTTACACCTTTATTTTAGAGACAGGACAGTGATAGATAGTCACTGGGATAGAGTCAGAAGTCAGGGACAGAGAGAGGGGAATGGCATGAGGGAAAGGAGCCACAGGTTGGATTCGAACCAGGGCTGCGCACTTGGAGGACTGCAGCCTCTGTGCATGGGGCACAAGCACCAACCACTGGGCTTCAGGGGCCCCTCTGTGCATTTCTTCAACAAATTGAGCTTACATAATTAACAAAGATTTTGTATGGGAGAAGGCTTTCATTTTCAACACTCTAATCATTTAAAGGTCCAAAATTAATGTAATAAGCGCCAAATGAGAGCAGAAGTTATCTTGGGTCGTTCTTTAATAAAGCAGATCTGCACGGTAAACTGCAATATTATCATATGTTACACACAGAGGCGTCAAAATTTCATCATAAGCAAGAAACTTGAGAACAAAAGCAAGAAATAACTTTCTTTAGGAGGCAGAAACAAGAAGGAAAAATGAAACCCCCTCTACAAAAACTCAAAACAGTCACAAAAGCAGACCTGGAAGCAGGTAACTTTTAGCATTTTTAATGAAAAAACGTTTAAATCTATTAATTGTCAAGAGATTTTGATCGAATTGATCAATAAAATAAGCTTAAGCAGGTTGAAAAACATAAGATCTTTGCAACTGTGCTGCAACACTGCTGTGGTTTGTGAACAGATGTAAGGACAGAGTCGTGCAGGGTCTCAATGGGAGACTGGAATAAAAAGCCTGAGAGACAATTATTCTGTGTTAGGAGGAAACTCTGAAGACTTTTTCACACGAGCAATCCTGAAAATGTCTGGAAGATTTTTAATCTTGCCTAGGTTTCCCCATTTTTGACACTTTAATGGTCAGACGGGAACAGGAGGGGTCTCAGGAGGTAATACTTAACATAAAAAGGATGAAGCGTCAGAGTCCGACCCTACAATGACTGTGTTGCCTTTATATTAATGCTATGAATAAATGGATGTATTCAGTTTAAACCAAAGAGCGAACATTCTGGCAAGCAGAAAAGAGAATAAGGCAGCTTCATTACGGCCATGTCAATCACACTGGTCGCTCACCGGTCGTGTGATATAAACGTGCATTGCATCGTTTGTGAGGTCTTGTTATGCAACTTTACATCTACTGTGTAGGTTTCCTATTATATATCTGACATACATGAATTTACACACACTGATCCTTCTCTTTCTGCTTTAGACCAGCTGAGCAGATGCCCCCCCTCCGTCATGCCTTTGTGTTGTTGTCCTCAACATGCCGGGTCTCTCCCTGACCTCTGGTCCCCCTCCTCTCCCTCAGGCTACAGAGTTCAGCCCGTGTGCAGGTGCCTCCCTCCTCTGTCTGATCCCCACCCCGGTATGAAGCTAAGCCTGGAGGCCGCATGTCAGCCTGACAACAACATAACAGCTTAAAAAGCACCTGACCCTCCATAGAGACTAAACTTAGACACAGGTTGTTTGTTAAAAGACAAAACGTCAAAGTCCTGTAAGGAGGTTTCAGCCGGTTATGAAACAGACTGAACTTAAAGGCCCAGACGCACCAAGCAGACGGCAAAGAACTAGTGGCGACAAAGGCCGCCTGTGGCGTCGTTTGACATCGTCTTTATCTTGGCCAAAAAGTTGCACTGGAACACACCGCAAAGACTACAGCCGACAGCCAACAACAACGTACGTTCTGAGCATGTGTGAGAGGAAATAACTCTGCATGCCAGCAGGCGGCGGTAGTCCATTGTTATGATACAAGAAGACCATTTTCACACCGTTGTCCCTCACCCCTCATATTACAGGTAGCCTACTAATCGAGCATAAATTTCCATGAGCAAGATTAATAATCCTCTGGTAGTTTATGGTCGCTCTCTATTATTAGGTCAGCTGGTTTTAAACACAAACCAAAGCAGGTCACTGAAGATCCATTGATCTGACATATCGACAGGTCTGTAAACGGAGACAATGGAGGTCAGCAGCCAGCTGCAGCGTCTGCAGAGTTACAGTCAGACGCTTCAGCCGCTCTGATGATGTGACAAATGACTCAAATGTTGACGACGTCGTGTGAGGGTCAGCTGTAAGCATGTGTGTGTAGGAGTGTGTGTGTGTGTGTGTGTGTGTGTGTGTGTGTGTGTGTGTGTGTGTGTGTGTGTGTGTGTGTGTGTGTGTGTGTGTGTGTGTGTGTGTGTGTGTGTGTGTGTGTGTGTGTGTGTGTGTGTGTGTAGGAGTGTGACAAAGGGACATTTAGACAGACTCAAAACACCCGTTTATTTTCTTTTGAGCAGCAGCCGGACCCTTTCCAGAGAACATTTCAGCAATATCTTTTTCTCTGAAAACATCTGCTATAACCACATAATGTATACAACTGCATGTTGATCATTATGTGATCGGCTGCTTTGTTGGATTTTGAAGTTTAGTTCAGTTCAGTTATTTCTGTGGAGAATAAAATACTTTTCTCTTCTCTTCTTCTTCCTTCTTCCACCACCAATTGGCTCTCAATCAAAACAACAAAAGATGACGTCGAGGCTGGCGGGGAATCCTGGGAGTGATTCTCTCTGCTCCCCTAGCCCCTGGCTCAGGCTTTTTATTCTTTCAATATTTGTTTTTAAATTTCCACTAAGGATGAAGCTGCTTCAGAGTTTCATCACGTTTAAATATTTCTGCTGCAAGACGACCTTCTTAAACATTTCTGATAATGTCTTACTTCACCTGTTTGGGATTTCTGTACATAACGATTCTTTGATTTTATTGATTCATATATATTTACATGTTTTGCATATGTTCGCGTTAGTTTCCATAATATTGACCGCATCATGACTGCTGTGTTTGATGTGTGACTTCTGTGCTGCTCTGAAACAGTGCCAGTGCCTTGCTAAAGGGCACCTTCATGCTAGTTTAAAAGAATCAGAGAACATAACTCATTCTCTTTCCCCAGCTGCTCTTTCACAGCCACTTTGGCAGTCATTGGTTGTCCGCAAACAGAAGTACAATAAACAGACAATATGACTTTGAATGTTGTACTGCCAGGCAGCGCTTTCTGTCTGTGTAATGTTCAAAGTGTGTAACAGGCTTTTTCCTGACAGCCTCCGCTTTGTTCCCGCAGCTCGTCACTGAGCAGAGAGCCTCTCTGATGAAAGCCCGGAGCAGATAACGCCACAAAGAGATGCTTCAACTTCACAGCCTGCACGGCCTTAACTTTCCCCGGGCTGGGATGAGGGAGGACCCTGTCATTTGCAACAATGCAGCTATAAAGGGAGCTCGCTTGTCGCCTGACTTGGAATCTACGCAGATAAGCAACTCTGAGAGAAGAAAGCCTCCTGCATCCCACACAGAGAGATGCAGGAGCGGCAGAGGTCTGTGTTTAGGAGATTAGCTGGAGTTGTGTTGCAGTTTTGAACCCACTATGTATCAGATTGCCTCCTGACCCGAGTGCTGGAGGGGCCGTGTTTGTGGTCTACAGCTGAACCTGATCCTGTGGTTATCACAAGGAAACGCTCTGGCTCTGATATCTACACTCTTTAACTCCATGGAAACAATTTCACTCACACAAAACATACTCACTGTTTTTGTTGCACTTGACTTTGGAGAGAAGTTTGTGCGCCACGAGAAGATCTCCACTCTTCACGGCCACCAACAGATCCTGCTCCTTCCCCATGATTACAGATCCAACCACAGACACCCAGATGTCTCACCAGGCCAACACCAAGCTTTCTCCTCTTCCTGTCTTTTTAGTGCTTCTTCAGGCGGACAGTTTCAGCAAACATTTGTCAGAGAGTTAACAGGCAGCTGCTGAATCCCATCCGTGGGACGATACTGCAGTAACTAGAGGGAAGGAGCCTCAGGTGAACTGGTCCAGGAGGTGTTTTTCCTCTCGTTGTTGGAGTATGGGTCCATATTCCTGACAGACAGTTACAGTTGCACTAGTACAGGTTAAGTTGTCTGCAGGGCTGAGTGTGTCTTTATAATCCAACCTGCCATCACACTGCAGAGAACGCTGGGGGGGGGAAAGAGAGAGAAATCCCTTTATACAAAAAATAATTTAAAAAATACATTAAAACAGAAGAAGTTTCTCCTGGCTGTATTACCATAGCATACAATAGCTTTCAAGGTGACCAATATGTTGACTCCAGATTGTTTTTTTCTGTCTTGGGCCCTCTCTGGAAACATTCACAGTCTGTAATTCCTTGAACAACCCGTAGAGAAATCCCTTTACTGCATTATCAGGAATCCATCACACTAGTAATGCATTTCTCATGGTTGTTGTTTTTTTATCAATACATTTCTCATTTATGAATATGTTGACCTTAAAGGAAGAATGTGTGACTTTTTGGACCAGTAGATGTCGCCCTTGAGCACCAGGATGAAACCAAAACAAACTTCTGTTTGGCCACACCTCCTCCATACTGAAGCCTCCGCTCTCCTGCAGAGACACACCTCCAACTCACATTCGCACGGAGCAGTCGAGCACAGAGCTGTCGAGCACGAACAAAATTGTCCTTTGCTCGAGCTGCATCACCTGTGGCCTGCATTGTTGTGTTAGCATGCTAAAGTTAGCTCGTAGCTTCACATTGCATGTAAATTGACACAGAATAAGCGTGATCTAAAAACTCTTACGTGACATCCAAATAATCAGTAAGTATGTTTACAGAGACATTTACAGAAGAAATATTTCATTTCTGATTCCCGTAACTCAAAATTCAGGGACAGCATGCATTAATTAAACACAATTTATAGATGTTTATTTAATAGCTTTCTTATTTATGAATATGTTGACTCCAAGCTGCTTTTGCACAGTCTTCAACACACTCTGAAAACTCTCACAGCCCTTAGTCTCAGGAAAATCCGTTAGCTAATCCTTTATCTCCATAATCACTAGCTGCCGAACTCGACAGCAAATATTTCTTCTTACTTGATAAATTAGGACTGATTAAATATGTGTCTGATCCTGAATTTGCGCAGCTTTGGTCCAGGCATGTTATGTTTAATTGGCAATCAGTAGGTGAGAACAGCTGTCAGGATAAGACGTGTGACACTAACTTGACCCAACTTCTGTTTGTTTTCTCAGTTCCAGGAAGCTCGATCCCTCAGGAGTGTGCAGATAATCTGTTACTCTTCCCATGCAGGAATACTGACTCCGACCATTGATAATATTTTCGAAACGTTGAGGAAGCCTCATGTCAGTAACAGTGCTGTCAGACTGGCGCTCTGCCACTTTAAGTCTTTGGGATTTTTTTCAGGAAAGTGAGGCAGAGCTGACCGCTACATGCCTCGAAACCAATTTGTCTGAAAATTCAATCTAGCGGGACAGCAAAGTGATGACAAAAATCTCTTTAGGGACAAAAAATAATAACAGTCCCCCCTGTTTGTACTGAGACAACAACACACTGGCTGTTTCAGTGAAGCACAGAGCCTGCAATTACAACACGAGTCCATTTCTGTGTGCAAAACAAAACTACAAAAAGAGAAAATTAAGGAGGAGATAGAGCTCTGTGCAGACTGGGTCCCTAAGGGATGCAGCTAATTCGATAGAAACATTGACGAGAAATACTGGAATTTCTCAGGTATAAAATCATTCTGTCTGTGAATGGATATTATGTAAAAACAAAAGTTATGAGAGTGCCCCGGTAGATTTCTTCGGCCTTGAATCAGGCTGTAATGATAACAACTTATCTGAAAGTAAGGATGCGATGGCAGCCGTTTTATCGATCTCCTTTTACACCCACCAGACTCCACTGACAAAAACAGTCATTTTACCTCAAATGGGAGATGCTGCCTCCATCAGATGGATTAACATTAGACTTAGAGACTTAGACTTTCTTTATTGTCATTCACATTGTACCTTACAGTGCAGATCAGAATGAAATTTTGTTGCAGTTGTTGTTGTCTGTCACTTAAATATTTAGCTGAATTAAAACTAGATCATGTTAAACACCCTAACACAGTTTCTGGGCTGCAGGACGAAGCGATCTACTGGAGCAACTCAAAAAGATGTACCTATTCAATGAGACCGCGTAATGATTAAAACAGGTATCAGGTTTGCAGCATAGGAATTCAAAGGTCATCTGAGTTTGTCCAGTAGACCTCTGAAACATTTTTCACCTTGTCATCCCGACAGAAAAATCAGAACCGCTCAAATAAATATATTCTCTCTACTCTTTCTTCCCTTGGGTTACTCTTCATGATCTATGTGGTGACTGTGCACCCTCTTCTATTCAAAAACATGAGAGTCTTCCAGCCTATGTAGGGCCATAGTACATTTAGTTTAGTAATTCCTCTGGACTACCAGGTGATCATGCAGCAGTGTAGCCCATGCAGCAGCAGATGCCAAAGCAAGTCTTTGCACTGACACATGATCTAAAACTAGCCAGGCACCTTGCCAGGCTGTAAACAACTGCACGGCCCCTCGCTGATGTGTGCCAGGATGTAATCAAGGATTCCAAAATGGGCTTGTTAACCTTAATGCTAATGTACTGATGAATTGAGAGGTAGTGAAAGGATGATCACTGGTTTACACATGGGAGAAAAAGCCCATCAAAAATCTTCTCCCCACCTTTCCAAATCAAAATGATTGTACAGAAAAGCAGGTTAAATTATGTATTGTAAATACTGTATTTGTTCCAACTTTTCATGAATACCAGTATCTAAAAAAAAAAAAAAAAAAAAAAAAAAAACATCAGTATGCTTTACAGCAAATATATCCTTGTAAAAATCCATGTAATAGCAAGCGGACATTTTCAAACCAAAGCCCATTCTCTATTCTGCTCATTTAATGCAATCTTGGTTGGCAACACATTTTTACATCAATTATAACAAGTATAACGACAAACAACAAATAATTACACTAGCTGTATTTATTCGGCGTATAACTTATCCATAAATGTGTAATAAAACGAAAAGACTTTCGCCTGCTCACCTGTAATTCATACACCTGAATACACGGGCTGGGTGTAACTAACATGATGAAACAGTTGCTAGAAGTTGATCAGGTTCAGTAGGATGGATTAAATATACGCCGAATATTGTATTTAAAACTAACTGTTTCATAAAAGTTATCACATGTGTTGTACGTTTCCTTGAATTTAAATTAAATGGAGATTTTATAAGCGGGTGAATAGTTAAATTTTAAAATGAAATACGGAGTTAACAGCGAAACGCAGCCTTTGGTCCAGATAAGGACGGACCGTTTGGCAGGCTGTCTTTTCGGACACATTCTTTGAGTTTGTCCGCTGCTACACATAAGACTGTGGCTGCTACACAGAGTCGTGTTAATCCTCCGCTCGCTGAGTTTAGCCTCTCGTAGTTTAGCTAACTTGTCAGTCTCGACTCTCCAGGTGTTCGTCTCCAGGTCACGCAAACTCCGCAAAAAACACTCGTTTTTACCTATTAAAACGCGGTCGTTCTTAAAGTTATCAATTGAGACGTTTACGTTCGCTTTTCTTAATTATAAGTACTACAAAGAAAGAGAAAAGAAAGAAAGAGTTCTCACCTGTTGTGGAGAGTAACCTGCAGGTGGTGCCTGACACATTAACAGCAGAGTAACTGCCCGAGGAGCGCTGAGCAGCACGAGACGGAGCCGGAGGAGCGACGTCAAGCTACGAGCATAGACGTACGACTTCCGGTTACCACCTCCAAAGTAAAGCTCTTCACGATTAAGGCGCCACAAATGTTTAAACTTACGCTGTCTAATTGTCTGTTTTTTTCTGTTTATTATTTAGACATGATTTTTTTCTGGGCGTATACAATCTGTGTATGAAGAGGAAATACTTGAAACTACTTAGCAGCGACTTTTTTATTTTACTTTGAAGGCACGATTGCATAACTGAATATGCGATCATAACATGTATTATCCTGCTTAACTCCGCCTAATTTAACAGTGTTCTGTGGCTGTTCAAGCTATTACTGGATAACCGGGTTAACACCTATGGATCACACCGACGACAACAAGTTCAAACCACAGAAATCTCCGCAATCAAGGTGTGGACACTGCATGACACAAAGCCTAAAAATGTACCAATACTAAACCTGAACTTCAGCCGCACGTGTGCTTCTGCACCTGCAAATGATATGCTTATGAAATTTAAGAAAATAACCAAAGAAAGAATAAATGTGAAAATAAAAAGACAGGTTGCCTATTTAAAAAATTTCCAGACATTTATTTGTCTATTATGACTGTATTTATACTCATCTGTGCACTTAGAAGAATAAATAAATGAATTGCTACTAGTTCTTAAATTTGTTGTCAACATAATGTAACAGGCTCAGTTGGTAGAGTCAGTCGTCTCTCAACCAGAAGGTCTGGGGTTCGATTCCGGCTCCTGCAGCTACATGTCGGATGTGTCCTTGAGCAAGACACTTAACCCCAAGTTGCTCCTTCTGCTTCTTCAGCGGTGTATGAATGTTTATGAATGGGATGAGTTTCTTCTGATTGTCACTTTACACAGCAGCCTCTACTATCAGTGTGTGATTAGGTAAGTGTGTCATGCGGTGAAAAAGCCCTTTGAGTAGTCAGAAGACTAGAAAAGCACTATATACCATAACTACAGAGCCCCTGATATCCCAAAAAGTTCATTAAAAATGTTATATTAGGGATGTACTGATTCATCAGTTCAACATCAGTATCAACAGATATCGGCCCTGTTGACAGATATCAGCTCATTGGTAAATAATGTGGCATCAACCGATGTCTTAGAAATCTTAGAAATGTGGCAACATATGCACGCTCCCGTTGTGCCAAATCCATTTCAATCAGGAGAGACAAGTAAATGATTGAAAGATGAAAGGTTTATTTTACATATCTGACATAGAATTATTGTCAGAGAATCTTTGGCGCTTGAACTCTGCAGGTAGACAGGTTGATTGAAGATGTCTGCACTGAGAGGCAACAAGATCTATCCCCCCCAGAGTCCAGACTCCGGTGGTGGAGGTGTTAGCTGATGTTGTCGTCTGGGTTGATGCAATGAAGAAGTTGATTGAACTGTGAAGACTAGAGTTGATCAGGAGATGGTTAATGATGTCATCTGAAGCAAACTCCAAAGGCTGGGGTTGACCGGACGATGGCTGATGATGTCATCTGAGGCTGATGGGATGAAGGAGGTGATGAAACTGCGAAGGCTTGGTGGCGATGGGGAGGTTGAGGGTCGCTCATAATGATTGCATGAATGAACTAGAGGAAGAGAAGGCCATTTTTAAACGAGACGGCAGCAATGTGATAGGCTAACAATGAGGGAGTGGAGCAGTGCTATTGGATAGATGTGACCAAGTGATGATTACGAGAAGTAATGAGTGAGCATGCATGGAGGAGTGATTTGAAATGGTATGAGAATAAACAATAAAACGAGTGTGCAAAATATAGTCTTCCTGTCTGGACTTTTGCTAGAGCTGCTTTTAATGCTGACACATAAGCACACCTAACAACTGATTCAGAGAAGAGGTTTGAGCAGATGGAGTCACCTGTTGAACAAACTCTGATTGTTTTCATTGTCAAACATGATGAGAAGATGTCGGCATTGTGGGAGTCTGACACCAAAGGAAGTCATGAAACAAATCGGCCCTGATTTTCCCAATCCGTGCGTCTCTAATATATATAAATATATATTTATCATCTAATATAATAATCTTGTGCACTTTTTAGGACTTCAAAGGCTCCTTACATTTCTTTTTTTTTGTCCCTTAATTTCTCTTTAACCTTTTTCGTGTTTCTTTTTTTAGCTGTCAATCACCTGCCTCTGTGTCCGCAGTCTTTCACTGACATAAAAATGATAAATTATATAAACTGGTTAAATAAAATTAAGATTAAAAAATATAGAAAGAAGTAAAAAAATAATTGTTAAATATAAAATAATCATTCTTGTAATGAGTCTCTTTATTTCTAATGTATTTCTTCTTTTGTCTATGCATTGTTGTTTTCTGATTGAATCTTTAATTTATTCCTCTCTAGGTTTACACACAATTCAAATTGAATATCTTTCATTACTGTATTTTGGTATTTCTTCATCATGTTTCTTTACTGAAGACTCACTTTGTTTGTACGGTGGCGACACCTGCTGGTCAAAGGCCGCTAATGTCACCATATCGATATTAAACTGGAAAATGTATTTCTCGTTGTTTTTCTTTTAACTTAAATTAACAAACCAATCAATATGAAACACATTTTAACTTCAGAAAGGTCCCCGAGGATGAGACTATTCAACCTCTAATAACTAGAAGAAGACTTTCTTCTTTTATTTTGAAAGGTTTGACAGTCTGGTTAATAAAATGGAAAGCATCTAATAATTGAAACACTGAACATTTGGATGACAAAGACGAATGCACAATGACAGCTTAGTAAATCGAATAAACGTTGAACCTCTTTGTAACCACATCACGAGGTCAAAGGTTACCTACAAAGATTTTCTTTGTTGTTGCAAAGTCACACAAAAGCTCTGAGAAACAAATCAAAGAAAAACTTGGCCTGATCTGCAGGAACATGACGTTCACCACAGATGATACAGATTTAACACACCTCACATCTCTCCTTTTTGGATTTGCTTAACTCGTTTTTGCAATAAATAATTCCTTTTCTTTGGTAAAATTCTGACTCCTCCCGTCTTTTGTTATTACCCAGGAGCCAGGTTATGACAACAATGAAATGTAAGAGTACTCGTGCATATTTAGTTATTGTGTAGCCAATTAGAGACAGAGTAGGAAGGGTCATCCTTCACCATACTAGAAAATAAATGTCAGCATAAAAACTGAATATTGTGAATCAATGATGAATTATACCCGACCCTGCAATACACCACAGGCGACACGTGGAGGACTGTTTCATCTCTGACGAAGGTGTACCATAAATTATGAGCAACAGGTGGACAATTCTACGGACTTTGTTTATTGAACCAGGAGGAAAATAAAAAATAAATACATCGGCACCAAAGAGACAAATTAAAGACTTTCATTTCTGTTGTGATCATTCTCATACAGCACGTTACAAAAGAGTTCAGACGTGTGGAGGAGCTCTCCAAGACAAAATGTGCCGGGCAGTGAGGCATTCTCACAGGTGAGATAGATCTTGACCATGAAGTGTTTCAAATAAAGAGAGCCTTCACAGAGGTCGGTGTTTGTTCAATGATTTACTTCCGTCCATATGGAGAATCTCATAGCGGTCAATTTGAGGCATTACAACAAAAATATCACTCAAGGTTGAATTTCTTTCTCCGCTGAATTATGGCATCTGTTCTGAATTAAATGGACATATATTTATACATGGGAATGCATCGTGGTCAAAAACAAACAAACAAAAAACGTGAATTGACCGTCAAAAGTTGTGAAGATTCGGCAAATTCCTCCCCCAGAGAATTATCAGGAAAAACAAAGCACATTTATTTTGATTGCAAATATTTTTTTTTACAAACGCTCGAGTCGATAACAGCCCACCACAGGAAGTCCGCTTCTGTATCACACAATGCCAAATCACAGGCTAATTTACACCTTCAGCTCGCATTCACCAATGTGTACATTTTTTTTTCTGTAGAAAACTTTTTTCTTCCTTTTTACAGAGTAATAAAAAAAGTTAAGGCAAGATGCATCAAACAGAAATCTGGAGGCTGTGGACGAGCCTCTGCAGGGGTTCTGGAGCAGAAGCAGCTCCCGCTCGCTCTCTGTCTCAGGCATCTTACTCTGACGGGAGGGGAGGAAGAGGAGGAGGAGGAGGAGAGGGAGGTGGTGGAGGAGGGAGGGTGGGGTGGGGCGGGGTCATCAAAGGTGTCCACTTCTACTCCTCCTCCCCTCCGATCCCTGTCCATGAGTCTGCTCAAACTCCCCTCTTTGGCACTTAAGCTGGCAGACTCAGCTTCTTCCCTTTCAGAACTGAAACGAGACAAACGAGCAGATTAGAAGCAGAAAAAAAGTCAATGTGGACACACGATGTTGAGATCTGTCTGGACTCAACAGCAACAAAATTAAAGTACGAGACATCTGATATTTCTTGTCTTCCGACTACTCAAAGTGCTTTTACACGGCAGGTCACTCCTACACATTCACACACTGATGGTAGAGGCTGCTGAGTAAAGAGACCATCAGAAGTAACTCATCCATTCACACGCCGCCGACAAAGCAGGGGGGAGCAACTTTTGTGGTTAAGTGTCTTGCCCAAGGACACATCAAGCATGCGGCTGCAGGAGCTGGGGATCGAGCCCCCGACCTTCAGGTTGAGAGACGACCGACTCTACCAACTGAGCCACAGCCGCCCCTTCTTTCTACATTAAAAAACTGCACCATCATGCACAGAGTCTAAATTGCACAAAATCATTGGAATCACTGACGTACGGAAACGTTCCAAATGTTTTTTGTGCAATTAAAACTGTGCACGAGTCTGCCTGCAGTATGTGATGGCTTCTGTCGCTCCTATGCACTTGTCCTATGACATATAGTAGTTTTTTTATTTTTAAAGTTTCTGCACTTTATCTTGCCATTCAATGCACATACTGTCTAAATTCCCTGCATAGTTAACTTCATCATTCATTTTGTACTTGTATATATCCCCTATTTTTATTTATCTGATCTATTCTGTTTCATTTGTATTTTGTATGACCTTATTACTCGTCTGTGCTGCTGCAACGCCCGAATTTCCCCTCTGGGGATCAATAAAGTACTATTCTATCCACTTTTAAATACTTGTGAAACGACAGAGATTGTCTCGCTTTTAAAACACGTGGTGTCAAAAAAAGTATCAGAAACGTTTGACTGCTTTATTTTACCCTGCAGAGTGCAAGAGTCAGTCTACTGCTGTCTCAGGCTTACAGATCGAGGCAGCAACTCCTGTGATTTGCAAGGGAAATGACTGCATATGGAGTCGTGTGTCTTTTAAAAGAACAACATTACAGCTGTTAAAAGTAATCATCCTCTAAAACACAAAAGGTCTATCCGTGTAGGGATCCCTTCTGTGATGCTTTCTGACACAACAACGACTTTTAGTGGCTTAATTCGCAACATTTTCCCCTAAAGGTTTACGTTGCAGCCATCACATGTGGCTGCAAGATCAAGCGATCTACAGGAGCAATTTCAATAAAGTCCCAAAAATAGTTTAAAATAGTGGCTAGGTTTTAAAAAGTGCAGTATTGATTTGGTTTCGGAGCCACACAGGTGCTCTACTGAGCGGTAAAAGCAGAGCGCAGTTCTTTACTTTCAGATTTAACCCTGATTTTTACGATCGACTGTCACAGAACTCTTCTCGAAGGTAAGACGTGACATTAAAAATCAACGCGGAAGTAGTGGAATTCTGAGTAAACCTACCACCAGAGGAAAAGATTTAAGATGAATAAGAAATGCTGCAGCACTCACCTTTAGTTACATACAAATAGAAGAAGTCGCAGTAGAGGATGGTCTGCACCACCCCAGCGACGATGGCGATCATGTCGAAGAAGCCCTCAAAGTAGAACCTCCATATCCAGTTGATGAGGTAAAGCGCTCTGTAGAGTCCCAGGAAGAACAGGTAGTGGGTGGTGATGGTCTCCGCCTCACCCGTCTTACTGATCATGAAGAGCTGGGGCAGGATGGCCACCGACTCCAGGTAGATGGAGAACGTCCACAGAATCTGAGGTGGAGAGAGAGAGAGAGACAGAGAGAGAGACAGAGAGAGAGACACACAGAGAGAGAGAGAGAGAGAGAGAGAGAGACACAGACAGAGAGAGAGAGAGAGAGAGAGAGAGAGAGAGAGAGAGAAAACAATAATTAGAGAGGAGCACAGCTGAACAGTTGAACCCTCTCTAACAGATAGGTGCGCCCCTTGACCTTAAAATGCAAAGTCATAGTGGTTGGTGTGCGCGCCCCATGTACGAAGGCAAATTCCTCCAAGCAGGCGGCCCGGGTTCAAATCCGACCTGTGGCTCCTTTCCTGCATGTCTGTCCCCACTTTCTCGCTCCCCAATTTCCAAGTCTATCAACTGTCCTTTCTCTAAATATAGGCATAAAAGCCCAAAAAGAAACCTTTAAAAAAAAATGTTAAAAAAAGGGAAGAGAAAGAACACTGTGACATTGCCACATAATGTTTGAGTGTCTGTAAAAATGACGAATAATGACTGGAGTGTTTCAAAGAAGAAAAAAATGTTGTTGAAACATTTGTATCCTTTAAGTATAAGAACGGAAATATTCCACTGTTGTAAAAAAAAGTGTACGTGTGGGTATCAACGGGTATGATGATGAATATGGCCGAGGTTATAAATGCAGGATGTGGCTCAGGGGGAAATGGAAGGAGAATCGAGGAGAGTGCCTCGAGGAAAAAGAACGTAAAGTGTCCGTGTCTCCGGTTTAGAAAATGGGTGTTTTTTTCTTCTTATTGTTGATTTGAGTTGTGGGTGAAATATCCTGAAAGAACTGTTTGTGTTCAGGTTCAGTTTGAAGGCAAGAAGACGATCCGAACTGTTCCAGCTCTCCGCTTTATGGAATGTTAAAGGACCAAACAGGATGGTGCAAACAACGACCTTGGTGGTTAAACACCAAACATTTAGAAGCACACGCGTTCTCTGCTGTGTGACTGAAGTAGCGGCGTGTGTTTTTGCGGCGTGTGTCTCACCTCCAGGGGAGAGAAGTCGTGGTTAACCAGGAAAGCCAGGCCACCGACAGGGACGACCAGGAACTCCACTCTGAACGTGTCGTGGTTCCCATCGTAAGTGGCCTTGAACTTCAGGTAGATCAGGTACACGGTGGCGTACGCACATCCGATGTAGATGACCTGACGACACAGAGAACGCTACACATGAGACAGTCGTTCATACAAAAGCCGGTTACATCTCGCTGGGCTACATCATCCTTTAGCAAACACAGGCGGGTCAGCTGTACGGCGTTTGCTTGATGCTACACAGGATATGTGCATAGTGCGAGAGTTTCACCTTCATGCTGGTGTTGTAGAGAGAGATGAAGGCGGTGAGCAGGTCCAGGTAGCGAGTGGTGAACACTAAGGCGAACAGGACCTGACTTTTCCCAGAAATACCTGTGAGGAGACAGCAGAGGACACCACAAACATTTCAACAGACGGCTCAAAGAGTGCACTTCGGATCCCTGACGATCTTTGTGTGCCTTGCTGATGTAAACCACAAACACACCTCTACGGCTCTCTAACAACACATCATGTCTCTGCAAGAGGAACAAAACGTTCAAGTCACTGGTTCTGCAATCCACCCTTCCTGCAGCCAGTAAGTGCACAGACATCACTGTGTGGTTCTCAACTGGTGGGTCAGGACTCAAAGCGGGTCGGGAGGTGGTTTTTTAGGGGGTCGTGGATAAAATAGATCTTGCAAAACGTCTATGCTGCACTTTTATTTAAAGAACATGTGCAGTAGTAGGGTTGTTTATTCACACTCAGTAGGTGAGGCTTAGTGGCGGTGATGCATTTTAACGCTGGTCATCTGCCAGCAAATGACAAGAGAAGATAAAGGATAATGTATAGGTTTGTTTTTATGCTGCCTGTTAATATGGAGAAATGCAAATATGACACCATTAAGGACTAAAAAGAACAACAAAATCTGCTGTACTGGCATGTTTTGTAACTTCTCGCCAAACTGCAAAAGCTTTTAAATTAAATACATTTTAACGGTTGAAAATGTTGAGAAATGTGGGTCCTGGTTTGTCATTCAGGAGGAGTAGGTGGGTCCTGACTGAGGCTAGACCAGTTAAGATCCACTGAATTAAAAGGAACATCTGTGATGTAAAAAAAAAAAAAAAGCAAATGTGTAGTTCCCCAAAGACGGTGTAGCTCGTCATCCTTAGCTGTACTAGAAGCATGTCTCACTGTTTATCTTGTTGTGTTGGCAGGCGACAACACATCCCCCTCAGACACACCCACTGTCAGACTGCAAAAAGGAGGGGTGGGATCAGTGAGCACTACATTCATAGTAGACAAATATGCACCTCACTGACACCTGCAGACTTTGTCAGAACAGGTTATTCAGATGTCAAACGACCCATTCTCGTCTTTGCATAAATGCAAAGAAACAAAAAAAAATAGCTGAGATGTCGGTCCTGCAGAGAAAATCCTTCATGTGTATGATCTGAGGTGGTTGCCAATAAGCTGTAGGCTGTCAACCTGGCAGGTGTAAGACCCCTCACGTCGATCAGTATTATAAAAATGTTATAATAAGTAACTTTTAAGCGTTGCAGCCAGCTCCGTGACAAACCCCTTCTTTATCTGATGATGACTGAATTGTCTCATCAAATGGACTTTCAGTGTTCCCGCAGGAAGTGTCCAGATCGGTCATCGCCTAAAATATTTGAACCATCTTGTTTTCCTAAAAACTGCAGAGATGTGAATCTAAATGTTCATTTCAGTCTCTGTACACTGTGCTCAAATTAGCTGCCGATAGGCTAACTTGTGACGCAAGGACGGCTCAGTAGTTTAGGTGGTTAAAGGTCAGAGGTCAGTTTGTATTTACATCATCATGAGATGTATACACAAAGAGAGGGTGACTTCCAATGAACATCAGACCTTTCAGCACTTGAAGTTTTCATTTTATTACTGAGTCATTTGTACATTTATGCATCCAGCCTGCGTTGGCTTACATGACACCATGAATTCAAAACTGTCCAGGATCAGAGTGCAGCGCAGGACTTTTCAATGTCGTGCACCTCTTCTTTTCCCGGCTTGTGAGAAAATAATTGGCTTATCATCTTTCCTACACAATATTTTCAAGTTATTGACGAGCGATTTCACGAAACAATAACTCTCTCAGGTCGTCTCATTTCGTACAGTTTCATCCAAATCACAAAGTCTGGGTTAGGGCTATTTTGGAATCAACCAACCTATACGGGCGGGAAGAGTACTGTATGACAGAAGAGGATCTTTGGTTTCAGGTTTAATTTCATAGAATTCAGGTGTAAAATTCAGTTTGATCTGCACACCTGTTCTCATCTGATCTTTCTTCAGCCTCAAAATGCATGTTAACAGATTGCATGTGGACATAGAGACAAGCTCTCTCTGTCCGTAGCAACACATCTGTATCTGGTTGAATTCTTGTACTGATGCTCAAGTCCAACATGCAAACGATTTGACTGGCATGCAGATCTGTGAGCTTTAATCTCGTGCAAACAGCAGCCGTGACATAACTCAAGAGGTGATACAGCTCTGACCTTTGACCCGCGAAACACACAGAGCAGAGGTTTTTTGGGTTTTTTTTTTTTTTTTATCGTGATAACACAACAAACAGCCCTGCAGAGTGGAACGCATTCAGTCAATGGGTTTACAACTCAAAGTGTCAACCTGTGAGTACTCCCTGCTGCCACGTCAGAGGGGTCACGCTCAGCTGACGTAAAGGAAAACACTGGGGAGCAGAGGAGTTTCTCTAATGTAATTTATATATGAGGAAGACAGACCCCTCTGGTCCACAGTGAGGGCTCTGCTACCTATCGAGAGTACCGCTACCACCTGCTTCACTTTCATATATAAATGTACGTCGCATGTAGTCGCGCTCTTAAAGTGACAGTGACACAGTTTACTAGCGAGTGTTAGTCGCAAGCTAGGTTAGCTAACATTAGCCGAAAGTGGCGAACAGGCTCTAATTAGAGTCGAGATTACGCAGCAGAGACCTTTGTAATGTCCTTAACATGTACTTTATGACACTATTTTACTGCAAGTAAGCTGTTATATAGTAATAAGCCCAACTCACCGGCACACGACCTGGTTTTCCATATTTTGAGCAGCAGGATGATGATGGCTGCTAGGTGAGAGAGATCGCCGGTTAGCCTGAAAATGTTCATGTTTTAACCGGATCTCCAGCAGGAAAATAACCGATTAAAGACTCTAAAAAAAAAGAGCTCAGTTCTTCCCCTATGACGGTGAATTTTGAGACCTGACAGTGCTGAGTGTCACTGTGAGGCTAGAAGAGACGATTCGGGCTTTCGGGAGATGGGAAAATGGCGAGCGAGGCGCGACGTGGCTCGGGGACGTGGCCGAGGCACCGGCACCCAATGCAACACGAGCAGCGACCGGGAGCTCAGCCAATCAGAGCGCAGAGATCCCTCATTAGCATAACTCATGCTGTACCAGTGCCGCATTCAAGTACGATGACAAAGGTAGTAAATCTGAGAGTTTCAACCTTCTTGGACATTTCCCAGGAAATACATATTAGCTTTGAGTAGAAAGTACTTAAGAGAAATATTTAAATTCGAATTAATATAAAAACAATGTTTTATTACACATATGATGAAATATTACATCAGGAAAGGGTTAGTCTTCTTCAAACATTTTTATTTGCCACAAAAAATGCAAATGAATCATTTGTATTCAGTGTACAATAGCAGCAGAAATCCCCAACAAAATATAAATAATTAAGTTTTGACAGTTTCAAGTTGGGATGAGCTCCTTAACACTTCCACTAGCCAATGAGGTCAGCAGTCAGCAGTTCATTTAAAAAACAAGTATGTGATATTGAAAAGTGACATTATTTTTTCGGTGGTAGCACATTAAAGGAACAAAATGTAACTCTGACATCTAGTGTTTAAAATGGGTACTGCAGGCCAAATTTAAAACACAGAGAGCTGTCTCCCCCCCTCACCCTCCCCCTCCTCTCTAGAGTCGATGCTCATGCAGGTTGCCATGCGGTGGACACTGAAGCTTCAGTGTTTATCCAGCTCTGCATCGGTCTGTAAACCTTTCTGTGTTCTTACCTCTCTCCATTTTTCAAAAACATCTCCAATATTGATCCTAGTTTAAGCTCGCTTCTGCTCGTGGAGCTTATTAGAAACATGCAGAGGCTTTTTAGGTTGGGTACAATCACTTCTATCTGACCCATTTCTGTTACCCGTTTCCATCGCTGCAACACCTGTTGGTTTGACTTGATAACTGGTCTCATATCCAGCAAACTGAGGGGCGTCCAAAACGGCCGGGTGGGGGTGCCTTAAAACCGCCTACCTTCTCTGGTCCAAACAAATCCAGAGCATTCAGAAGCAGAATCTGAAGTTAGAAGGAGGACATACTGGCTGCTGCATTGTTGTCAGAGAAGCCAGAACTTCAACATGTTTTCTTAATGTCTGATCATAGAGTAAGGTCACTTAATTTCACTCACTACACATCTTACTGATTGGACCTAATTATTAAAAAAAGATGTTGCTCTTCCAGATTTTTTGTCAGATTCCCTACATTGTTTTTCGGTTTATACAGTTAAGATAGCTTACAACATAATTTGGTGATGGTCCTAGAAATCAGATCCTCTCATTTAATTAAGAGCACATTTTATTCCATTACACTCTTTTAATACAAATGTTGTTGTTGCATCTATGGCACATTTGTAAATGGGGTATTGTGCAGTTACAGCAAAGGTACACTATGGAGAAGAGAGACATTGTAACTTAAAAAAAAAGTAATGAAAACAGGATTCTTGCATTCAAACAGTTAATCAAAAGAGATAAAAATCCTCTCTCACTCAGTTCAGTACACTTACAGGATTCTGCTGCTACAGGACAACTTGACCAGGGGACCTTCAGCTGTTTTCACACATGCACAAAAGTCCTGAAAATGTACCTGGGATCTTTCCTATCAGCCAACTAAAAAGTTTTCGTGTGAACTCGTGGCGAGCTGACCTGTGACCCAAGCAGGAAATATTAGGAAAGATTGACCTCGGGCAAGCGGACGAGAGGGATTATGTTTGTATCTAGCGACCGGTTTGATCTTTGTGAACATGATGAAGTAGCTTCATTCTCTTTTCTGCTCGTCAGTATTTTCTTTTCCACTCGTCTGTTGTTAATACATCCAATCACAGGCAGCTTGATATCAAGGTAAAAAAAACAAAAACATTACAGGCTATGTTCTAATTTAGAAGCTGCATCCTTCAGAGACCAATCACAATACAGCAGCTCATCGAGGGTTGTCCCCATTTTGAAGGCTCCTTCAATTGTGTCCATCTGTCTCCGGCAAACGGGGATCCCTGCAGTGCATCCTGCATGGCCCAAAGTATCCTGAGATGCACGCCAATTCAGACGAGCTGGTCGAGGAATACACTTTCAAATGTGAGTAACTCAATCCAAAAGTTACCAATACTAATGTGGCCATGAAACATCAATCCATCTTTAAACTCATAGAGGTTGAGTTATGTAACGTTGGTTATGTTAGCTAGTTCCGGTGACGCTGTTGAGGTTGCTAGGCAACAGCAGGCAAGCTTAGAAGTGTAAGGGTTAAGGGCAGGGACAAAGTAGACCAGCCCGTCATGTATCAATGCAGCCTGAGCGGTCTACTCAGACTACAGGCTGCGTTCTTTTTTGCATGCTACCCCATAAAGTAAGAAACAGCCGTAGTGTGCCATCTTGAATTTCCTTATACATCATGTCCTGCCTCCTGAGACGACCCCCTCCTCACATGTGGTGCGGTGAAAACTTCCAACGTTTCTTCATGAGCACCTAAAACTTCACGCTGTGAGGGACATTTGAGAATAAGCAGCTCAGGAAGATTTCAGGGGCAGCGGAGTGCATTTGTGAAAACAGCTTTTGAGTCTATTGTTTTGATCTTCAGCCAGAAATGTACAATATTTGCATAAGGCTCCTTCCCGTCACAGCTCACACAGGAGCAGACCGATAAAGTGAGCGACTAGCAGGAGAATGTAGCACCAATGTTAGCAGCTAAACGTGCGATATGTCAATGATGTATTTTGAAGACTCTAACACTTCCTGTGGTGGCGAAAAACTATGAACCCTGTTGTTGAAGTCAAATTTAGCTTCAAAATCAACAACAAGGAGTCATAACGGCTAACACATTATAATACAAGAATCAACAGCAAACCATTCAGAATGGATAAATCAAGTGTTTTCATACTCTGCCTCTTTGCATAAGATGATAATTAATTAAAGTAAATTCAGATTATCCCGATACACATTACAGAATGATAAAACACTAACAGCAAACACTGCCCACACATAGCAGACGTTACAGTACATACACCTATCACATATTGATATGTCGTAGAGGATTTGATGTTTGCAGGAATATCACTTAAGGCAAATTGCCGTTAAGTTGTTTTTTTTTTGCTTTAAAGGTCACATATCCTCCTCCTCTTCATCCAGATTAAATAAGTCTCAGAGCTCCTCAAAACATGTGTGTGAAGTGTCTTGTTCTAAATCCACTCTGATCCTGTATTTGATCATGTCTATAAACCCCTCTATTTCAGCCCTGCTCAGAACAGGCTGTTTCTGTGTCTGTACCTTTAAATGTAAATGAGCTGTGTTTGACCACGCCCCCTCTCTGGAAGGTCTTGGGTGTACTCTGGCTTTCTCGCTCCATGTCCTATTGTTTACGGTGAGAAGGCAGAACAAACACCTAGCTGTGTGAGTGTCACCCACCTGAGGGAGGGGTTACTGCCCTTTGTGATGTCATGAAGGGAAAATCTCCAAATGGCCTGTTTGAGCACACATTTTCTAAAAAGTGGAGCAGGCAGAAGACGTAGAAGATGGACTTTTCTCATCATTGGGGGGTTTGAAGACAGACAGACACATGTTAGTTTTAGAGAAACATGGTGAAGAGGATTTAGCAGAATATGTGACCTTTAAAGGGAGAGGTATCACTGTCACACATGATGGCTGGTAAACGTAGGAGCTACAGTACCTGAGCTTCACATCCGACTCAACATTTCTAAACATGTCAGAAATACTGTGTTTCATGAATGAAGCTGAAGATCCACTGAGGTGTAAAATCAAGTCCTCGACAGGTGTTCAGTGAACAGACACCGTGGTCTCCTCCGAGGCCTTGAGAACAAAAACAGCATCATCGAGAACGTAGTAATCGTTGTACATGTCTCCTTCACAGAGGTAAGGCAACCGCGTCACAGACTCCACCTCAAACCCTGCCCTCCAGAAGACCTCGTTGGACATGTTGGTGACTTGCTCCTCCCACGTTTTTCCTTTTACTTTGAGGTGCTCTCTCGGACGCTGCCATCTTCCTCCTGAGACAAACAGAGACAGAATCATTTAATTCAGTAAATGAATTCATACCACCAAAGTAAAATCAGTGCTTGAATAAAAGCTGCGTCTAGTCGTCTGAAAGGACTGATCACACAATGATCACACAGTGGTGACTGTGTCTGCAGAGACTCTGTCCTCTGACTGCATTTTACTGTTCTGGTTTGTTCTGGTTGACTCGGGACAATTATGGGCGGCGCTGGTGTGTTTCCTCCAATAAGAGCGCAGCAGGTGAGTTTGAGCAAAACATTTGACAGACATCGAGGGCCAACATACACAACTATTTCTTTTAACCAACTAGTGAGGGTGGTGACATTTAAAGTCAACTCAACGTGCACATCCCGACATCGAAGCACTACCTTGGAATAATTTGCACTAAAGTGTTAACAATCTTCTATATCAGAAAATGGTTAATATGATTCAATGGACTGAAAACTGACAACAGTACTTTTGAGAATAGATGCAATATTTTAAAAAACATGAAGGTTGAATACTGAAGTGTCAATATTTTATTGAAAAAAAAAAAAAAAAAAATTCCCAGACAGTTTGTTTTTGTTATTAATAATTTAAAGAGTTAAATCTTGTTTCACTCAAAGCTGATAAATCTGTTGTTACATCTCAGCCAACTGTATTTTGTAGTAATATAAAACTTACACAAGGGGGCAGCAGAGGGCTTTCTGTACGGTGACGTTGTCAGTGTATTTGACCTGTCACAGGGTCGTCACACCTTGGTATCCAACAGATATCGATATTGTTCTATTTGGACTAGAATCATATCCAGCTTTAAGTTCTGGTTATTGTGAAAACAAATAAAGGCCTGGAAACCTTGGTCAGGTAAACATGTATGATACAAGTTGCAATGTTTCCGACTCACCGACTTCCACATAAGGCTGGAAGGGAAGCACCGCAGCCAGGATGAGTCGTCCCGTGTTGGGAACAAGCGTTCGCCTGATGTCCTCCAGGAGGTGAAGAGGATCGTCACAGCGGTCCAGCAGGTTCAGACAGCTGACCACGTCATACTGGAAACCCGTCTGCTGCCACTCGTCTATACCCAGCAGTCTGGGAACAACACAAAACAGGAAGTTCAGATGCTAACATGTATCTCTTTCAGGGGGCAAGAGGTAATTCCTAGTTGGTAGAGTCCGTCGTCTCTCAACCAGAAGGTCGGGGGGGTTCAATCCCCAGCTTCTGGAGAACAGTGTGAGTGCTGGCCAGCGAGGGACTGGGGAGGGGGAAACAATCATGCTTCAGCACAGTAGGGGGGCAGCTTGGCCTTGTGCGAGTGCGTTCATAAGCTTTTATGAAATAGCACAAAACTGCTTTCACAAATTTTCTCAAATTCAGAAATTCCTGCAGATTAAAGGGAGTAATCCTTCCTTGTGTTCTCTACAGGCTTATTTTATGAAAAATCTGAAAATCTGTTCAAGCTCAATTTATTAAACACACATCGTACAAGTTGCTCCCTTTCACGTGTTGCAGAGTGACAAACCTTGAGTTTTTACTTTTAACAAAATAACTTTATGATGTGCTTATTTTGTACATTTGTATCATAGCTAAACAACAAGGAAGCGATATTAACTGAACTGTGCTCCTTTGGATGACGCTTGACCGAAGATAGTGTTCATTTTATACACATCTAGAAGGCTGGATGTTGTGCTTAATGCAAATAAACACAAACGGGCACAAAGGAAAATGCTGTCCACCTTTCAGTCTGAGCACAGGTTCTAAAGTTTAAATTCTGTGATTGGCTACTCACTTGTAATTCCTCCTCTGAAGATGCCACTTCATGGGAGCTGAGACCTCAGTCGCATAGACTTCTCTAAAATGAGCTCCCATCACCTCAGTGACGCCTCCGTCCCCGGCTCCGAGGTCCAGCAGTCTCTCAGCTCTCCACTCTGGGCCGATATGGAGCAGCCGCCTGAACTGCTCCTGAGAGAACACGAACATGGAGCCACGACCCAGAAACCTGACACGGGGGGAAGAAGAACTCAGTCAGAGGAGGTTCGAGTTCAGGTGAAACAGAGACAGAGCTGTGTCTGTGATACTCACCCGTTGATGGAGGTTCGGGAGACCAAAGGGCTGAGGACGGTGGAGACGAACGAGTGATAAAGCTGAGTGAACATCCAGCCGGACTTCTCCACGCTGTTCTTCAGGAAAGCTTTAGTGCCTGAGTCCAGGTGGCTCTGAATGAACAGCGGCTGAACGGATTCTCCAAGCAGGTCAGGATAGCACCTGTACCACTGCAAACCACAAAAGAAGCAATTTACATATAAACCTTACTATATGATCAGACATTAAGGAAACATGCTATGTTGAAGTGCTGGCTTCTCTGACAACAATGCAGCAGCCAGTATGTCCTCCTTCTAACTTTAGATTCTGGTCCTGAATGATCTGGATTTGTTTGGACCAGAGAATGTAGGCGGTTTTAAGGCACCCCCACACGGCTGTTTTGGACACCCCTCGGTTTGCCAGATATGAGACCAGTTATCAGGTCAAACCAACAGGTGTTGCAGCGATGGAAGCGGGCAAGAGAACTGGTTCAGATAGAAGTGATTGTACCCGACCTAAAAAGCCTCTGCATGTTTCTAATAAGGTCATATTTGCTGTACCCTGAAACAGCAGAATGCACTTACACCTTACACTTTAAACTCAAAGGAGAGTTTAAAGTGTGACAGACTCTAGAATCGCCCCTGCATGTGTTCACCTGGATTTAAACTACATTTTATCTTCTTCTTTTTTTTTTAAACGGCTCTTCATTGGGCTCACTGCATGTTGAGATTCCTGGCTGATGGTGAATCATTCATACCTCCTGAGAGTCGATGGCAGCCGCTTCGCTCTCGCTCCCCATGTTGGCGAACAGAGAGCGGACCAGCGGACTGCGGACGTACTTCCCGGTCCACATCCTCCTGATGGAGAGCAGGAAGGCGATGTATCCCAGGACCCAGGCTACAAAAATCAAAGTCCTCAGCTGTAGATGACACATAATAACGGAGAACAAGCCTGAGAAGAGAAGCCGACAGACAGCCGGCCGCAGTGTGGACAAGAGGACTGGGCTGTGGCTTAATAACAGAGGAAGGTAAAGAAGGTAATGGCAGCCAATTGTAAAGCAACACGCCGGAGCATGTCGGCTCTGTCTCCAGCTCCAAGAAAAACAATCAAACAAACCTGAGGGTGTGGCGTATTAAAGACAGCCTGCTGCTATTTACTCTCCATCTTATTGCTGTGAGCCCACTGTCTTATCAACGCAGGACAAATATTTACGTGGTCTTCCCATTTTGACAACAAAAACACACTTCCGTAAGCCGCTCTGTTCTTCTTCTTCTTCTTCTTGTTTTACAGCAGTTTGCATCAATCACGTTGGAGCATTACCGCCACCCTGTGTTGCTGAGTTTTGGCTCTGACCCTGGACTTCATTACTAATCCCCATAATAATAATAATAATAATAAAAACTACATTATATCAACGTCATTCAACTTCCACGCCTCTCCCTATACTATTTACAATTCCTATCCCTCCCTGACCCCCTTTTCCTCCTTACCCATTACACCCTGTGAAACACCCCTGTGTCCCCCTTCTCTAAGTATCTAATCCAGTACCCTCTCACCCATGTTCAATAAACCCTTCAGTGTTACTTCCTTCATCCCTGAACCCCTCAGTTTATTCCTCATCCCCTCACAATTATAATAATAATATGCATTCCCCACCCCTCATCCCGACTTGTCATGTGGTTAACCTCCTCAATGTAGACTCTGAGAGGGCCTGAAGGCCTCTCTCTCTCTTTCCCTCTCTCTCAGCAGCCCCCCCCCCCCCCCCTTCTCCTGTAACCCTCCTTATGCAAAAACTTATTTTGCTGCATCGACAACTATTTCAGTTCTCTCTGACTTTCTCTCAGCTTCAGTGGCACAGTGAAGTTAATCAGGATGAGAAGGAAGGATGAGAACTTAATCTTGTCTTTGTAGAAACAGTACTCTACTCTTTACTGGATTGGAAAATCTGTGGAAATACAGTTCACATGCTTTACCAGGTGAAGGATATTTGAAGCTGCAACTGGTGTTCTGACAACAAAGGACAAAGACTAACAAAGGTTTTCGATCTGTAAATTATTATTTCAAAACCCTAATCAGAACTAACACAAGAGCATGAAACATTCTTTTATGATTTAAACGATATAACTTCACCGATAATGGCAGCTTCTATTGGCTCTGAAGCTCTGCCCATGCAGGCAACAGTGAGGTAGAGGAATGACAGAGCCAGGTAGAGGGAAGTCACAGAAGGATTGGGATTTTCTACACCACAAGGTTCCCAAATTTACTGGAGCCAGAGACTGGAGCATCTGCCTCCGGCACGTCTTTCAGTTTCTGAATGTCTTTCAATTTCAGTAACGAGGGAAAATACAAATATCTCGTTCTTACTTTAGTCTGTTGAGACAAAGCGTTTCTTTTAAGAGGAAGAGGAAACGATTCATTTGTAATGAACGATCTTAAAATTGTGTTATCAACTTTACTGTCTAAGAAATTATAGCTGTCAATAAAAAGATTAGGAGTATTAATGACAGAAGAATAGTGTAATGTCCCTTTAACCAGATTAAAGCCACAGGAAAAGCTTTGACAACTACTAAATATTGTTAATGAACAACTGAAATATATTTCATGTAAGATCAGTATTCTACTGAAGCCTGAATCCCTTTCTCCGTCCAATCTTTACACAATAAAAATGTCCTCTTGTGTAAAATATAGGCTACCTGATTTTATTCATGTGGAGTGAAATTATGTTTATAAAGCAATTTCCAACACAGTATACGAAAAGGCCCTACATGTATACCTGCATAAAGATCCTACCAACCAACTGTATAAGATACGAAGGTCAAGTGAACTGTCAACCGTTCATATTTTATGAAAGCTGGAACAAAAGAAGAAGCAGCACTCCGCCTTGGCTGGGTCGCTGGGTCTAGTCTGCCGGAAATGGAAACTAAGAAGAAGAGGGCGGAACCTTCGACACGGGGGAACCCGGAACAAAAACACTGACGGACCAATCATCACGGACCAGACGAATCAAACTAACCGCCGAAACTTTAATTTCACACAAAAAGAACAGAAATAAAAGAGGAAAATCTGACATTTACTTCCAGTATTTATGAACATGTTGTGTTCAAACGGGATGGAGGAGAAGTTATCGAAGCGGAACTGTAAGTAAATATTTACAACAGCTCGCTGCTAGCTCACGGTTCAAAGCTTATTTACAGTCTATTGTTCAAACATTAGATTTAAAGTCTTCTTATGAAGGTGTATGAAGGATTTTACTGCTTTTCTTAACAACGTATGTCCTAAACATGAACTTTACTGATGACTGTTATTGTTATGTTAATTATACCTGAGGTTACATATTTTACAAACAGGTACGTGAGGGAAACACTAATAAATAATATCATTTAAACTTTACCAGGATTCGTGTTTTCTTAGTTTGTGCAGCAAACTATGAAGTAGGAAACTCTTGAGACCCTCCACAGATGGAGGTCGGAGCTTTCAGAGAGTCTTTTAAAGACTCCCTCACACAGGCCGAATCAAAAGACACAACTGGACCACACACTTCACTTAGTGTGCGAAATTTATTAAAGAGGACCTTTTATCCCCCTTCTCCACCTTTTCAAACAGTCCCCTGTGGTCTAAATGAAACATCTGTGCTGTGCTTTGGTCAAAATATAACATGAATCAAGCACCAGAGGAGGTTTGTGACCCTGTATAAACCAGCTCTCTCAGAACGCTCTGTTTTGGTGTGTGTGTCTCTTTAAATGCAATGAGCCCCCCCTGAGTTTTCCTGGTATACGTCACTCCTTTCACTAGCAAGAATAAAAATGGCGGACCTGTGCAAAAGTTTTGTTCTAGGGTGGGTTGAGATATCAGGGGAGGGGGAGGGGATTTTTGTTTACCAGAATCCCACTGTGACATCACAAGGAGAGCAAATTTGAAACAGAGCATTTTTCTCTGTGTTGTAAGACTTATACAGACCACAAACAAAGGACTGGATGGGTTTATTTCACATTTTGTGGGTCAGTAGACACTCAGGTTACCAAAATATATGTTCAAAAACACTGTACAAGTGGATTTTTCACAATATTTTCCACGCACTTCGACTTCCTCAGGGTCACACTTAAGTCAAACCATTGAAAAACGACATTCATTTCACAAGACAGGTTCTCAGGAGACGAATGAATCCGTCAAACATTGCAGGCAAACTCCTGCATGTCATAAATTGCACACAAACATCGTGGGCAACGCTTCAGGAAACACCTGATTGTCAGATTTAATGAATTTGAGAGTGTTAAGATAACCCTCCTCTGTTTTCACTCAGGTGCCTCTCTGCCCCTCTCTGCCCTGCGACTCCTCGTCCCCCCGGTCAGACTCGTCTCTGCGGCCGTCTGGCATACGGTCCAGCAGAAACATGTGGCTGATTATGGGATGCTTGAGGAGTTTGTTTCCATGGTTACGGACATTGTTCCTGAGCTACTCGCCACTCGCCAGAGGGCCCAACTAGTCCTGGGACTCAGAGCACGGGTGAGGAGGATAGTCACTAATGTGGCTGGTAATGTGGGATATAATTGCAGCTTACTTTGTGAATATTTTTAATCAACACATAATATTGATTGCTGTGCTAAACTATTTCAGAGGAAGACTTTGAACACAACGCTCTTTTTCCGTGTTTTCAGCTGATTCTGGAGCTGTGCCGGTTTGAAGCGGACTCTGTGCTCGTGCAGCCTCACCTGGACAGAGTGCAACACCTGATTCAGGAATGGGTCAGAGAGGTGAGTTCTCTTCGTCTACCGTCATACTCTTTAACATGATCTGTTTATTCTGCAGATAACCGTGTGATGCCCATGTCATGCTAAGTCATGTCATGTTATGTATGCTATGTCATGTTATGTCATTTTATGTCATGTTATGTATGCTATGTTATGCTACGTCATGTTATGTCATGTTATGCCATGTTATGCTATCATGTCATGCTATGTCATGTTTTGCTTTATCTTGATATGTCTTGTTATGTCTTGTTATGTTTTTGCAGGCTGGTGCAGAAAATATGGAAGTGCCAAACTCTGAGTTTGTGGATCTGGTTAAAAACTTGCTGAAGAATCCAGAGGAGAGGGAACACTTCTTTCAGGTCAGTGTGAATGTGTCTCTGTAACGATATGAATATCAAAAGCTCTTTTTCTCTCCATGCCGATATCAGGCTTCCCCTTGCATCCTTAATATTGTGTGTAAAGAAGAAGAATTTCCTTCCCATCTTTCAGAAAGTCTTCCCTGAAGAGTTTGGACCCGGGTTTGAAGACACTCTTCACACCTTGATGTGGACGTTTCTGTCCAGACTTGAAGAGTTTCTTCCTCTTCAAAGTTTCCATCAGGTTTGTGCACAATCCACATGAAATATAACTTTGAAATCACTCTCCAGAAACTCCGGATAAAGCACGTGGGGAAACTTTGAAGGGAACATACTTTGCATGAGTGCATTTGAGGTTCAGCTTAATCTGTTGTAGCTTTTTCCTGCCTGACGTCTTCCTCTCCCTCCAGGTTACCTCCATGTTTGGCGAGGTGTCGTCAGTTTTGGAGGACTGCATGAACTCTGTCTCCGGATGTGAAGAGCTCAAAACCCTGCTGCTGTATCAGAAAGACCTCAGCCGGCTGGATCACAATGGCAAGCTTTAAGAGTTACTCATTTCTTTAATATCTTGCCTTGTGTTTAGTAATTGTAATCTCATCTTTGAATCCGACCTCGGCCTTTTGCTGCATGTCGTCCCCCACTCTCTCTCCTCCCAACATTTCCTGTCTCTCTTCAGCTGTCCTGTCTAGTAAAGGCAAAAAGGACCAAAAAAATACCTGTAAAAAACACAACTTCTTGTCTTAATGAGACGCCAACTTGACTTGAAAAACATGAGTATATAAATGGAGTACTGCTGCTCTCTCTCTCGGCTAAAGTCCTTGATAGAGTGCGCCCCTCTCCCTCTCTCTCTCTCTCTTCCTGGTTTCTGACTCTATCCACTGTCCTATCCCTGTAATGAATGACTAAAAAGCTCAAAACAAAATCTGGGGAAGGTAGCCGTTTGGGGGCTTGTCTGGGATCCAAACGTCAGTTAAAAATATGACTGAAGATGTGTTGTTTTTTTTTCTAATGGTTGGTTTGCGTGTCCCATGTACGAAGGCTAAAGTCCTTGAAAGCGGCCCGGGTTCATATCCGGTCTGAGGCTCTTTCCTGCATGTCATACCCCCCCCAATCTCTCTATCCGCTGAAATTACAAGAAACTCAGCTTTATTTTAATGATTCAGTTAATAGTTTCCTTGTTGTTGTTTCTTTGTCTTTCAGATGGCTCCTTGGATGGGGCCTGCATCATTTCAGCTCTCAAACTTCACTCTGTTGACATAATGGATGCTCGAGCACAAGCTGATGTCTGGGAGAAACCTCTCTCGTGTACGTCCGACCTGGAGAGGGAGTCTTTGACATCAGTTCATGGAGCAACGATAAAGACGGACACAAACCCCGAAGATCAGACGAGTGACGCGGAGGTCTGCGAAGCTAATTGGACTCTTCAGGAAGAGGAAACAGCCCTGCCTAGTAGAGAAATCACCCCTGAGGAAAGCCTTCTGCAAAGGCAAGAAAAGGACGTTTGTGTTAATATGAAAGAATGTCACGTTCAGCTCAAAAGACTGGACTTGCCGCTCTTTGTGCCGTCTCGACCTGTGAGAGCAAACAGAGGGCTGAGGATGAAAAAGATTCTGTTGGAGGAGAAGAGAGATCTCCGTGGAAAGATTGCTCCTGACACCAAACCTGTTCTGAAAAAGAGAAAAACACACAACAGGACTCTCTCTGAGGCGTGTGACGAGGAGAATTCAAACATGTCGTATATTTCTCCCATCAGTAACTGCAGCGAAGACGACTCGTGGTCTTACTACTCCGACAACGACTCTTTCCATAAGACTCCGAGTCCGAGTGTGGCTGATTCATGGTCTAACTACTCTGATGACGGGTCTGTCTTTGAGCCTCCGGTCAGGACTTTCACTGATGAGGAGTCTTTGTCAAGCTGCTCGAATGAAGAGACGTCTTTGGTGGGTGCTAAAAATGTCTCCAACGTGAAAGCGAGCACCACAAAAAGAAAGTGGAGTGTTTTATCTGCAAGGAGCTCATCAGCACGAGGCTGAAAACTCACATGAAAACTCACTTCCCCACCGGCAATTACGCCTGCCCTCGGTGTGACAGCAGGTTTAAACTCTTGATGTCTCTCAAGCAGCACTTAAAAAGAACCTGCTTCGAGTACGGGCAGCGGCAGGTGGATCCGAGAAGCCGGACCAATCCAAAAACCTCTACAAGTGTGACAAATGTGGAGAAGCGTTTAGGTATAAAGTGTCCCTGGAGAAGCACAACCTGACCCACCATGAGCTGTACTGCAGCGTGTGCAGGAAGGTGTTACGGGACGCAGCAGCGTTGGCGAGGCACAAGGCCTCCCACACGTTGTTTCAGTGTACCCGCTGCGAGGAGACCTTCACGCTTTTAAGCCCTTGCTCAAGCACTGCCAAAACATCCATGAAATCAACAAGCCGTTCAGATGCAACCGCTGTTCGAAAACGTTTTCCAAGCTGCGCGTTCTGATCGCTCACGAGTGGAAGCATACGGGTCACCTCCCGTTCCAGTGCGCTCAGTGCAGCTTGAGAGTGAAAACAGACGCAGATCTCGTCTCGCACCAACGAGTCCACACGAGAGAGAAGCCTTACCTGTGTGCGGAGTGCGGCAAGACTTTCGCCCAGAGGTCCAACCTGCTGCGACACTTAAACCTCATCCACAGCGAGTCCCGAAACGAGAAGAAGTACTCGTGCTCCGAGTGTGAGAAATCCTTCAAAGAGAAATCCTCCCTGAAGAAACACCAGAGGAGCAAACACTTTGAAACCCTGACGCAGTTATTCCGTCATCCGTGTCAGTACTGTGGAAAGATGGTCGCTGCTTCTACCATCGCCAGACATAAACTAATCCACACGGGAGAGAGACCCTTCAAATGCACCGTGCCCGAATGTGAGAACTACTTCAGGTCGACCTCTGAGGTGAAGAGGCACGTCCTCATTCACCACACCACGGAGAGGCCGTATAAATGTGACGACTGTGGGAAGGGCTTTGTGAAAAAGTGTTACCTCAACAGTCATGCCAAGATTCACTCGGGAGAGAAGCCGTTTGTCTGTCACTGCTGCGGCAAAGCTTTCCTGAAGCTCTACAGCATGCATAGACACAAGAGACTGGTACATACGGTCGAAACAAAGTGAAACTGAGCGCTGATGATGCTCTGTTTACCAGCTGTGTTTCTTGGGCCCGCGAAAAGAAGTCTACGACACAATGAGACTACATCTCTGTGGATTCATAGCCCCCTCATCTCTTCTTCCACACACCATGACGTTCATTTTGTAAATGACGGTCCTTTTTAGAGTCAAAAACAGTCACGTTACACGCTGTCTAGTTTGTTCCTTGAAAACGTTTTAGTGCTTGCACTGACCGCAGGAAGTTTACAAATATTTAGTACCTCAGACTCCTTTTTTTTGTCACGGTCAAATGACAAAACAGGTATTGATCAGTTTTGATTTTTCCAAAATATATCCATTCTCTACCACTTATCCGAGGTCAGTTCTCGGTGGCAGCAGGCTAAGCAAGTTTCCCAAGACGTCCCTCTCCCCTGCAATGTTTTCCAGCTCCTCCTGGGAGTTCCTGAGGTGCTCTCAGGACAGACGGGATTTATAATCCCTCCAGCGAGCTCTGGGTCTACCCCTGGGTCTCCTTCCAGTCGGACGTGCCTAAAAGACCTCCCGAGGGAGGCAACCAGGAGGATCCTGATCAAGTGCCTGGACCACCTCAACTGGCTCCTTTCGATGTGAAGGAGTAGCGGCTTTACTCCGAGCTCCCCCTGAAAGTCTGAGCTCCTCCCCCTCTCTCTAAGGCTGAGTCCAGACACCCTCCAGAGGAAACTTATTTAAGCCGCTTGTATCCACGATCTCATTCTTTCGGTCACTAACCAAAGCTCATGACCACAGGTCACAAAGATCGACCGGTAAATCGAGAGCTCTGGATAATATTATAAAGGTCTTTACCACGACGGTCCAACGCAGCACTCGCAATTCTGCTGATGCTGCACCAATCCGCCTGTCAATCTAGCACTAGTGCGATATTGAAGTTTAATATTCCGGTACTGTGACAACCCTACATTGTATAGCAGCCTGTGCTACAGTAAGAGTATGAATGGTGTTTATCAGTAGGAAGACTTTAAGGGCTAAATGACAACACACCACAAATCACTAACCATTTAATTTATATTTAATAATCAAAGCGCCACCTGAATACGAAGCAGGGCCCGACCGATTTGGGATTTTTGGGTCCGATACTGAAATCCATATTATAAAATCATCATAAAATAAATCTGATACAGATATATCTGATATCTTAGATTTGTCTTCTCGATGAATGTAAACACAGTTATTGTGACAATCCTTCAAATGCAGTTATCAAACACGTGTTGAAAAGATTAATAATGAAGATGTGATGATTACTCAACTGGAAAGTAACTGCTCATGTACGTGCGTCACCGCTCGACACTGCAGAGTGATGATGCTTGTTGTAATCCATATAGCGCCCTCTGCTGGTGGCAGTGAACTGCTAGTGTAATACAATGAAACTCATGAAATGATGTTTGACTGGTGAATAAATCGAGTAATATCGTCGCATATTTGCGATAAAATAAGCCGATACCGATAATCACTGGACGTGCTAATATCGCCAATCTCGGTCGGGCTCTAATAACAGGCAGAGGAATTTATCCCCCAATATCTTTTTCCTTTTCCTGTTTTCTTTTACTAGAGCATGAATGCAGAAATATAAAATGAAGATTTATTTCTGTTTCATTTCCTCTAACAATTGTATGTGTTATGTATAAAGTGGTAACACAGTTTATGACTTTATCGTTTTATTTTTATTTTTAAAGACTCATTTTTTGGCCTTTGCCTTCATTCGAGTGGACAGTGGACAACCAGAGAGAGAGAAGGGCATGACATGCCAGAAGGAGCCAAACCTTGAACCCAGCCGCTCGATTCAATGACTATAACCTTCATACATGGGCTGCGACTGTCAAAGCCTGGCTCAAGGGCCATGACAAATATGAAAGGACACAAATAATAATGTTTTTGTAAGAAAGTAAACTAATGAATGAGAACTTCAAATGCTGAGTGTATCCGTCAGTAAAGTCAGTCGTGTGAACTTGGATGTGTCATAAATGAAGTGTGTGGTGTTGAGAAGCAAACTGTCATTTTTTTCTTCCAGTAGGAGTCACTTTTTGAGGCCCGGAGTTTCACAGGACCTCACAGACTTATAGCCAATGTTTTCAGTAAAGTCAGATAAATCCAGATATAAATAACAGCTTTATGTATATAGAGCTTTACAAACAACAGAGTTGATCCAAACATACACAAGACAACAAAAACAGAAGAATGAAAGAAAGAGAAAATCAAGAGTGATGAAAAGATATCAGAATCAGAATTGTTTTTTTTTTTATTGGCACATACATTTCCACATACACAGAATTTGTCTTGGTGTTTTGGTGCAAAAACAGTTAACAAAGGAAATAATAGCAAGAACTTAAATAAAATAAAATATAAGAAGTGATTACAAATATCTATAATATAGTATAAGAAATATAAAAACACAAAAGGTGTAGTTTTAAAAGTCCAGTAAGGGTTAATGAAAGGCCTTCACGTTATTGTGATGTCTGTGTTAAGTAGGGAGGGCAGGCTGACAGCAGAGGGGAAGAAACTGTTCTTGTGGCGAGAGGTTTTTGTCCTGATGGATATCAATGTAAAATATGAGTTATCATTTCAAGAATAATGATAGTAATGCAAGTATTATTATTAATAATCATAATAATAATACTACAAATAATAATAAAAATAATAATTTCACAATTTCCCAGTCTGGAATCAATAAAGTAATTCTATTATATTATATTCTAATAATAATAATAATAATAATAATAATTATATTAGGCATGATATAACTGTACTGAAGAAATGTGTACAGAAAAAAATAACCAAGTACCTTTTTACGTATGACTTAAATATTTTGATATAGTAAGTGAGAGACACTCCCGCTGCGATGATGCGGAACTCCACAAACACTTCTGTTCGGTTTCCAGCCGGATTGTTGTTCCGGACGGACCGCAAGCCAACCGTTGACGCACAAGATCGCCCGAGTGACTCTCCGCATCCCTTCATCGTTAAAGACTCAGTTTGACTCTGATCGACAGAAGTTCTTAGTTTGTCCTGATTGTAATGTAACACCGGGATCACGCAGGATGGACGGTGAGTTTTAACGGTTACACTCGTTTGTTTGGCTAGGCCTCGACGCAGCCCGCGCGCGGGAACATTAACGTCAGGAAATAGTCATTAATTTAAAATATAATGTCCTAACTAACTAATTAAAAACACGTTATACTGCTGTTGGTATCCTTTTATTACCCGTAAGGCGCAACGACACCGCTAGGCTTCAGGAAATACATTTATTTAGTGGTTCAGTTTGTGAGCTACATGCTAATGCTATGATAGCTTTGCTAACCGTAAACTAGCGACAGGAAAGCTTTTCTAACTCTTTAAAATGAGGTTTTATTCTGATGTAACATACATATTGTAAACCCCGTAAGAGTGGAGCTTGTACGCTGGGTGTGTGTTAATGTGTGTCACTTTTATGTCGTGACTTTTAAAAGCAGCTGTGATAGTTGTTTAGCAGCCTTGATAACATCAGGATATTTTTTAAAGCTCCTCATGTTGTCCTCATGTTGTCTTCATGTTGTCTTCATGATGTCTTCATGTTGTCTTCATGTTCATCTTTCATGATGTCCTCATGTTGTCTTCATGTTCATCTTTCATGTTGTCCTCATGTTGTCTTCATGTTGTCCTCATGTTGTCCTCATGTTCATCTTTCATGATGTCCTCATGTTGTCTTCATGTTCATCCTTCATGTTGTCTTCATGTTGTCTTCATGTTCATCTTTCATGATGTCTTCATGTTGTCCTCATGTTCATCCTTCATGTTGTCTTCATGTTGTCTTCATGTTTATCTTTCATGATGTCTTCATGTTGTCCTCATGTTCATCCTTCATGTTGTCTTCATCTTCATGTTCATTCATGATGTCTTCATGTTGTCTTCATGTTTATCTTTCATGATGTCTTCATGTTGTCCTCATGTTCATCCTTCATGTTGTCTTCATGTTCATCTTTCATGATGTCTTCATGTTGTCCTCATGTTCATCCTTCATGTTGTCTTCATGTTGTCTTCATGTTTATCTTTCATGATGTCTTCATGTTGTCCTCATGTTCATCCTTCATGTTGTCTTCATGTTGTCTTCATGTTCATCTTTCATGATGTCTTCATGTTGTCTTCATGTTTATCTTTCATGATGTCTTCATGTTGTCCTCATGTTCATCCTTCATGTTGTCTTCATGTTGTCTTCATGTTGTCTTCATGATGTCTTCATGTTGTCTTCATGTTCATCTTTCATGATGTCCTCATGTTGTCTTCATGTTCATCTTTCATGTTGTCCTCATGTTGTCTTCATGTTGTCCTCATGTTGTCCTCATGTTCATCTTTCATGATGTCCTCATGTTGTCTTCATGTTCATCCTTCATGTTGTCTTCATGTTGTCTTCATGTTCATCTTTCATGATGTCTTCATGTTGTCCTCATGTTCATCCTTCATGTTGTCTTCATGTTGTCTTCATGTTTATCTTTCATGATGTCTTCATGTTGTCCTCATGTTCATCCTTCATGTTGTCTTCATGTTGTCTTCATGTTCATCTTTCATGATGTCTTCATGTTGTCTTCATGTTTATCTTTCATGATGTCTTCATGTTGTCCTCATGTTCATCCTTCATGTTGTCTTCATGTTCATCTTTCATGATGTCTTCATGTTGTCCTCATGTTCATCCTTCATGTTGTCCTCATGTTGTCTTCATGTTCATCTTTCATGTTGTCTTCATGTTGTCTTCATGTTCATCTTTCATGATATCCTCATGTTGTCTTCATGTTCATCCTTCATGTTGTCTTCATGTTGTCTTCATGTTCATCTTTCATGATGTCTTCATGTTGTCCTCATGTTCATCCTTCATGTTGTCCTCATGTTGTCCTCATGTTGTCCTCATGTTGTCTTCATGTTCATCCTACATGTTGTCTTCATGTTCGTTCTCATGTTCATCCTTCATGTTGTCTTCATGTTGTCTTCATGTTCGTCCTCATGTTGTCTTCATGTTCATCTTTCATGTTGTCTTCATGTTCGTCCTCATGTTGTCTTCATGTTCGTCCTCATGTTGTCTTCATGTTCATCTTTCATGTTGTCTTCATGTTCGTCCTCATGTTGTCTTCATGTTCATCCTTCATGTTGTCTTCATGTTCGTCCTCATGTTGTCTTCATGTTCATCTTTCATGTTGTCTTCATGTTCATCTTTCATGTTG